GTAAGCTGCTCCACTGCTTTAGCTAATGATGCTTCAAGAAACACTTTCACTGTGAAACAGCTGTTTACATCACATGCTGGGGTCCATGAAGCTGTTTTAAGGCCCTTAACGGTGTATGAAGATGTATATTACAGAAGTATTACAGCATATGACGCCTGCTCTTTCCTAGCTTGTTTTGGATGTTTTTCTTTAAGGCATCTTTTCTGCTTCGAGTCAAGATTTTTCTGTAACTCTCTATTTTTGGTTCAGTCTTGCTGCAGTATGTGTTCTAGTTGCAACAACTGTTTTAAATTTCACGTCACAGCTAATCCCGACAGCCTCATGCATTCATTGTAGATTCTCCTGTTCTTTATTCCAGTAAAGGTCACTGTGTGTTATGAATGCTGGTGTGACTGTATTTTCTTGTTGTCCGCAATACTTACTATCGTACACAACAGTAGGACACAAACAACAGAATACCCCTCTGCCTCTTCCACATAAGTCACACATGACTACTACTTCTTTGAGGTCGATTTGTGTCTTAAGTGGTTATATTGTGCATTGTTTTCTAGTGTCTTTGCAGTCATATTGTGCAACTCCATATTTAGATTACCATATGTGGCCGTATTGCCCTGCCGTAACCCGAATACTCTGTAATATTCAAATGTTACATAAAAGCTGTTTTCTGTTGGTTCGGTTTCTCACAGTATTTCTGTCCACGCTGGACTTTCGGCCCCTCTTTCCCTTCCTTTTTCCACTTTCCCACCACTTACTGTAGTTCAACGCATCCAAAAAATTACCGAAAGGAAACCCAAATGCTTTTAGGGAAATGTCATTTCTCCAAATTTTAGCAGAGGGTAACTGAGAACGATGACCTTTAATATACCTATTATAATTCTGAAAACTGGACACAGACAAAGGATCTTAATATATTGTGTGATCGAAGGAGAATGGCACAAATGTGTTTTTAAGCAGATACAAATAAGACATTTTTATTGAGTAACTCAATAAAAACAGGACCAGACACCTGAAAATGTCAGAAGGCTTTTGAGTCGACCCATGAAGAAGTCTGGGAGTTCACAGGAGGAATGTGGGCTTGTTAAATGTGCAGGAAGGAGGGTATGAGTTTGGCTCTGAGGCTGAATTAGCCTCCTGCAGCTCCGCTAACTCTCCGGGTCACGGTGCAGCCTGCAGACACCTGCGAGTCACATGACCTCTGAGGAGTGTTTGGTCAACACTGCTGACCCTTCAGGTGTTCGGGGGGGGGGGGGGGGGGTGCTCTGCGGTTCACGACCTGGAGTTATTGCTCCACTGGCTGCAGCTGCAAGATTAATGCATTGAGTGGGTTTTTGTTCGTTAGACTGAAATAAGGTCTGTGGTTAACACAAGCTGAAAAGATTTAAACACTTTGTTCCACGACATAAAATACGCTTGTGAATACTCCACTGTTGAATTTAAAAACTGCGGTTGCTAGCAAGTGTCTAAATGAGACGACTAACCGTCATCACGCCGAACGTTAGCCGCCTTTAGCTTAGCGGTGGTGACGTGAAGTCATGTGTCCGTGCTGTAGTTCCTTTATAGACCAACATTAGCCGCCTTTAGCTTAGCGGAGGTGACGTGAAGTCATGTGTCCGTGCTGTACTTCCTTTATAGCCCAACATTAGCCGTCTTTAGCTTAGCGGTGGTGACGTGAAGTCATGTGTCCGTGCTGTACTTCCTTTATAGCCCAACATTAGCCGTCTTTAGCTTAGCGGTGGTGACGTGAAGTCATGTGACCGTGCTGTAGTTCCTTTATAGCCCAACATTAGCCGCCTTTAGCTTAGCGGTGTTGACGTGAAGTCATGTGACCGTGCTGTAGTTCCTTTATAGCCCAACATTAGCCGCCTTTAGCTTAGCGGTGGTGACGTGAAGTCATGTGACCGTGCTGTAGTTCCTTTATAACCCAACATTAGCCGCCTTTAGCTTAGCGGTGGTGACGTGAAGTCATGTGACCGTGCTGTAGTTCCTTTATAGCCCAACATTAGCCGCCTTTAGCTTAGCGGTGGTGACGTGAAGTCATGTGACCGTGCTGTACTTCCTTTATAGCCCAACATTAGCCGCCTTTAGCTTAGCGGTGGTGACGTGAAGTCATGTGACCGTGCTGTAGTTCCTTTATAGCCCAACATTAGCCGCCTTTAGCTTAGCGGTGTTGACGTGAAGTCATGTGACCGTGCTGTAGTTCCTTTATAGCCCAACATTAGCCGCCTTTAGCTTAGCGGTGGTGACGTGAAGTCATGTGACCGTGCTGTAGTTCCTTTATAACCCAACATTAGCCGCCTTTAGCTTAGCGGTGGTGACGTGAAGTCATGTGACCGTGCTGTAGTTCCTTTAGAGCCCAACATTAGCTGCCTTTAGCTTAGCGGTGGTGACGTGAAGTCATGTGACCGTGCTGTAGTTCCTTTATAGCCCAACATTAGCCTCCTTTAGCTTAGCGGTGGTGACGTGAAGTCATGTGACCGTGCTGTAGTTCCTTTATAACCCAACATTAGCCGCCTTTAGCTTAGCGGTGGTGACGTGAAGTCATGTGACCGTGCTGTAGTTCTTTTATAGCCTAACATTAGCTTTTTACTTCAATCATACAGTGTTTTTAATATGTGGAGATTATCCTGCTGAACTAAACGTGTAAGTATCATAAATGTTTGTTTGACTCAGAGATGGTTTTCTGAAATCACATGGAGAAATCCTATTGAACCAGGGAGATGATGCATTCAGGTTCAGCCTGTAAAAATATGTCATCCTTGACACTTGAATGCCCGATTAAAATTGTTTAAAATCACTAAATTGCAGGAAATGTTCTTATAAAATACATGTGTTTTGTGTCCTTAATCACATAATGACATGAATGTGTTAGAGGCTACTGTTAGCTACCAACTGGCTTGGGATGGACAGTGTCATCAACACTATACAATTCATTTTTACATGACTGCAGTTTGTCTTACTCAGCACAACATAATAAATTGTTGAGGTGGAAAGTTGTCAAGTCAACGGTTGCTATAAAACAAATAAAACTGTACACTAAAGATCGTTAGGAGAAAGTAATTTCCCTATGTGGAGTAGGTAATACACAGAGCACAGAAATAGGCTTTTAATGTGGATATTTCATATGAAATATTAATATATTGTACAACAGAACAGTTACATGACTGATTTCATGATGGAAGATTTTTTGGCGTATCTCCCAGCGCTAATTCACTTTAACTGCTGACACCGCAGCTCCTGGCCTAACAGTTTAAGTCCTTGGCAGGTCTCTAAAGGCACTATTGATCAGGCCTAATTGAAATATCTATGTGCCTGTTGGAGCTTGCATTAAATCATGACAAACTTCAGAAAAATACAGAACATCTTGGGCGTGTGTCTTTACATAAATATCCAGCGCTGCGCTAACCGGTGCAGATAAAACACCATATAATAATCTTCTGCAGGATCCTTTTTACTCCACCACATGCCAGCACACATCTGAAACCAGGCTCTGCTCTTTATTGATAGCCGTGCAAACCTCATGCCACTTTATTTTTAAAGACTGATCTCATGGAGGAAGTTCCACAAGTGCGCCAAACTGGTGGCTTTTAAGTGGCTTTTGTTCGACGTTAGCCAGCGAGAGGACAGTGCAGGCTTTCATAAACGCCAGGCTGGGCTCCTGCAGGTCCTCGGGTGGAAACATGGAGTTTCAGGGTGTAATCAACCCCTGGAACCCATAAAGAGGCGTTCACTGCAGGGTACATGGCTCGTCATGCCAGCTCCTGTTTGGGCGGCTTGTTTCCGGCTCCAGATGTTTTCCCTTAGCATGTTTGCATGCAGGAGAATCCGAGACACGCTACACCTACTGTAGACAGTTTACAAAGCTCCAGTGTGAGGACAGAGCGGCACACACGCTTGTTAGCATGGCAGGGAAAGGGTGGGAGTGTGTGAATAAAGGAACAGGAAGCATGTTTTATTAGTCAACATGTCTGGTGCAGATACAAAACAACACACACCGTGCTGGCAGCGATTCAGTGTCTCGCCAACACACATTCAACACTGATTTGAGATGTTAGCATGAGCGCTAACCACAGCCATCTGCTGCTCTGTTAGATGTTGGTCCACCACTTTGGAAATATCTCAACAATTATTAGACGGATTGCCATGACATTTTGTACAGACATTCATGGTTTTCAGAGGATGAATCCCAGTGAATTTGTACGAGTAAAGTATCTCCTTAGTTGTACTCACAGTTTGGTTGTGTGTCTGGGCCGTTGTGTGTATCCATCGATCTGTTTAAAGCATAGGTTTAAAGCTAATATTGTTTAGCCTACTACTGGAACCAAAAGCCTAATATGTTTTGTGTTGAGTAATGACTGTATGCTCAAGGACCTGTCTTGGTTGCTCTGATTAAATCTGTTTGAAAAACCGCTTGTATTCACTGTTAGACATCGTCGACTGCTTCAGTAGCAAAATACAAAAAATGAGCCTTACGTCGTCTGTTTTTGGCCACATTTTGGCCTTTGTTGTGTCTCAAAAAGTGACATCGGTACAGAAGTTTGGTCTTATTTAGAAAGGGAGTACTTGCAGATTAAGTTTATACATATATATCATTCATACACACATATTATTAGGAAGTTGGGCACGATACAAGATTAATAAATCCTGTTTTTTTGTTGGCGTTGCCACCATTTTGACTGTAGGGAGTGGAACATAAAGTGAGATTCAACTCAATCTGCGGGATCATTTGTGTTTTTACACATTCAATTCTGGTTTACTACAGTGGTACGAACCTTAAATAAACACATTTCCCCTGATCTAATTGCGATATATGGATCAGAAGGATGCCTAAATATCATATTCATGATGCTGGTTTGTGAAAGTCTAAAACTGTGATGACATAGAGACTCTGTTAGCATCACAATCAAAGTTGCTGAACACTTCAACACCATGGCCTGCTGCAGTGTTTGATTAAATGTCCAAAAATACAGTAATTGATGCCATTTGTTCTCTTGTTTCTGCAGACATTCACAGCGTGGTGTAACTCCCACCTGAGGAAAGCAGGAACGCAGATCGACAACATCGAGGAGGACTTCCGGGACGGACTGAAGCTCATGCTGCTGCTGGAGGTCATCTCAGGTAATCAGAGGTTTACTTAACAGGATTACTGGGAACAGAACGGTCCCCTGCTGGGTCTGGAAATCAGGAGCAGTTTGACTTTTGGGGAAATATTTGCTGAAAGTTAGAAGAAGAGTTAGATCCAAACCTAACGTCTGTTTCCATTAAAGTGAAGTCAAAACATCTTCATTTGTTGCACTATTATGGATTTTCAAGTTGATATTTGGGCAGTAGTGATTGGGCTTCTTCTAGTCTAAGGGTGTTTCTCAATGTCGACGACGCTTCCTTGGTAGCACATGTACTGTACCTCTGAGTCACTTCCTTCAGAAGCGAGGCAAGAATCCTTCCTAGCCTCGGAAAACGAAGAATTGTGGAACAGGCTAACAGGTGTACAGGCATACTTGCCAACCCTGCCGATTTTTCGCGGGAGACTCCCGATTTCATTGCCCTCTCCCAGTTTCCTCCCGGGGTCATATTTCTCCCGATTTCTGACAAAATCAGATTTACACACGACTGTTTCCACTCGGACTTTATTACAGCTACACCATTGTTTGGTTTCCATGGTAGCGCGTCTCTTTAGTAGCGTGTGCAACGAGATAGTCACAGAAAAACAGAACAAGAATCGACAACTTGACCCTCTGCCCACTCCTGTCCTGGTCCAGCCCACACGCTCCATCAAGAGGATGGTGCTACAGGCCGCAAGGCAGTGCACTCACTCAGAACTACAATAAGCATGTTAATGTTCATCTAACAGCTCCGGCGATCCACCCCCCCCCCCGCGGTGGTGCGTCATGTGCGAGGCCCCGCCTTAAATGGAGCGTGATTTCCGCCAAAGATTTGGGAAATTGCATTGTGGGGATTTTAAGACCGCGGAGGACACACATGTGCAGCCTCGAAATGTCCCGCAACGAAGGACGCCGGCCTCGGTAGAATTCCAAGGATCCTGGACATTGGAACAGTCCTTCGGCGGGACTCGATGACGTAGCATCCTTGAAATAGTGGCTCTGGAGGAGCCTTCCTCGACATTGAGAAACACCCTGACTCTCTGCAAGGAGGCGAAAAATAGTACTGCCAAAAATGACAAACTAATGCTTTAAAACAAGAAATATCACGCTGAATTAATCTGCTCTACTACAGCAGTATTTACCTAAATAAACAGAGTTTGCTTGGTTTTAATTGCAATAAAATTGATCAAAAGGAGGCCGAAATAACTACATCATGATACTAATTTGTAAAAAGTCTGATTCATGCTTTGTCATGTCTGTCGAAAGACTTTTAAAATGCTTTCTTAATGGAGTTTGGAGGAATCAGGGCTATGCTAACACAGTAGCTACACTAACAACACTCAAAATAATGTAATTTAAACTACCAATGACTAAGTGAATACACAGATGTCTACAAACTGTGCTACTTTAAGATGATATAACTCAAACCGCATTTAACACGTTTCATATTTTTGTCAATTGTGACTTTATCAATAACCTTTTTTGAGTATTTTATGATTCAACAACGCCAGGAAAATCTAAACACTGACAGCCATTTTCAAAATACTGTAGCTTCCCACAAATGTCTTACTTAAGGTGAACATTTGAACTTGTGCAATAATAGGAATAAATCAATAATTTGTGTAAACGAGTATTGGCTTAATGCAGGTTCAAAATCTTCCTCTTTGCATTGACTTGGTATGAAATGCAAATGGAAAATGTCTTTGATTTTGGCACCACTTATCTTATAAAAAGTTATTTATTTAAAGGTCCCATGTCGTGCTTTTCCGGTTATTACCCGTCCCCTTGTGTGTTATGAAGGTTGTTCTGCATGTAAACGGTCTGCAGAGTCACAAACCCTCAAAGTACACCCTGTAGCGAGTAAAACTCTAACACAGAAAATACCTGTCTATGCTGCCCCAGAACGCCTCGTTGGAGATTTCTCTTTTTCCATTGTTTACTTCTTGGGTATAGTGACGTAACTTAGCTTAACGGCTCCGCAGATTAGTCCAAAAGGACCAATCCGCGGAGCCATATACGTTTGGACCAATCCGCGGACTTCCTCACACACACACACACTCGGCGGGACGTTGCGAGGCTCGCTGCTGCGAGGAGCGGGACACTGTGAGCTGGCTCACTGGTGTGGGGTCGGCGAGACAGCGAGACACCGCGGAACTCAGCCTGGGCACACACACAAACTCCCAGCCAGGCTGCGGGTGTGTGTGTGTTTCGGGCTGGGTTTCGCTGTGTCTCGCTGTCTCGCAGACGGCCACTGGGCTCACAGGGAGGGGGGAGGGGGGTAGGAGCTCCAACAAGGTGTTTAGGACAGAGAGTGAATACACAAACTATACAGAGATGCTGTGAGAAACCAATGTGAATTTGGAACATTGAACAATATAAATGTATTCTAGTAGACCTCAACAATGGAATTATGATCAGTAGAAATGGCCATGACATGGGACCTTTAAATGAGAAACTGCCAGACTTACCCATGATCCTCTCTGTCTGCATCCTTGTGTTTTCCTCTGCAGGTGAACGCTTGGCCAAACCAGAGAGAGGCAAGATGAGAGTCCACAAGATCTCCAACGTCAACAAAGCGCTCGGCTTCATCACCGGCAAAGGAGTGAAGCTGGTGTCCATCGGAGCCGAGGGTGAGTGGAGGATCTCTCTATGAATCTCTCTCTCTATGTTTAAATCTTTTTTTAAACAAACATTTCAGAAAATATTATTTAAAAAATAACATAAAAAAACACAAAGAAATACAAAAAGAAATCTGAATATAATATAAAAGAAATACAACATTAAAAAAAAGGATCAAAAAATAATGTAAAAACATTTTATAAAGACTTTCAGTCAACAAAACAACTTGTTTTTGAGTTTTGACCTTCAGGGCCACCGTATCACCAGCTCCTCTCCTGTAAATAGCTGTGTATATAAACCGCCCCACTGTGGTTACCATGGCAGCGCCGCTGTCCGCTGAGCTCTTTAATGAGATCCTTGACGCTCTGCTGCGTTCTCTGAGATCTCGGGATCAGCAAAACCCCTCAGGGCTGCTCGTTGTTTAGTCAATAACCGGAGAGCAGAGTAAACACTCTCACTGTCTGTCTGTCTCTCTCTCACACACACACACACACACACACACACACACACACACACACACACACACACACACACACACACACACACACACCCTCTGGAGTTTCAAATGTGTGCTGCAGGAGTCAAGAATGTTTACAGGCTCTTAAAGGATCAGCTCAAACATAATGCATGTTTTCTTGCTGATCCCTCGAGGTATTTAGCCATGCAGATATTATAGGTTTGAGGTATTTGTATCGCCCCAGAACAACACTTTGCATTGTGTTGCTCAAAGCACTGAGATATGAGGTTTTTGGTCTAATCCTAACCAGGAAATTGTCTTTCAAGAAATGTTGTGCTCATAAACCTCCACTAACTTTACGTAACCATAACCTGCTGGAACTACTTTCTACCAAATAAATAGTCCCAATAAAAACTGTTGATAAATGTCCTTTTTATACCCTTTTTTAATGGGTTCCTCCCTTAAGTAAATGAATTGACAAACTGGTAATTTCAAGCTCATTCAACTAAGATTTCTATAAATAATTAGTTATATTTTAATGCTTTTGTCATGCAGACTTATTTCCAAGATACTTATGATGAACACAAGATTTAAAGTCAGGCTTTTGCATGTTTTTCAGTGGAGAAACTTAAAGGGGCCCTATTCTAATCCTGTAGTGTGTTCTATAGGTCTTAGTGCATGTAAATGGTCTGCAAAGACTAAAATCCCTGTGTTTGCTGAGAGGGCCCCTTTAATTTATACTAATCTATTAGTCAATAACATCTTTTAAGTATTGCTTGACTAAGAGTTTCTCTATTCCCGCTTTATTGAGATGGAAACAGAGATTTCCGAAGCAGACCTCCCTGTTAAACCCCAAGGTTCCCTACTTTTTTTTTTTTTTCACGACACTGTGTCTCAGGGGATCTTAATATTTAAGAACCTATTAATGTGTTATACCAGATTAACGGGAATAATCTCAGCTAACTGACGATACAAACCATTTTTACCAAAACAAAACACAAGTCTCATAAGTAGCCTCTAAATGACCCCTGAGCGAAAAATGTTAACGCACTTTGGCACAAAACTCAAGATAAAAGTACCCTTATTACTTATCGTAACTGCACTTACAAGATATCCGATTAAAGCTGAGGTTCCACAGATTATTTAGGTATATAGTATCATCACTGAGTGATCCGAACTCGCGACAGGGGAAGCAAACACAGACATCACAACACGTACCTTTACGTAGCTTTTACGGGAGATCGTCTCACCGTCGCTGTCAATCTGATCAAAAGACGTGTTAAATGGCATTAAAACGAGAAAAAACGCGGCTGAATCGCTTGATCCATAGGTTGATAATGTTTCTGGGTAATATTTTTTAAAATTTATAATTCAATTTGTATGTAAAAATCGGAGAGTAAAAGTTAGCTGCTAATGGTAGCCACCAGAGTTATCACAGCTTCCGGTTTTGGCTATGCGTCAGTCTCACAAACACACATTACCAAATAAGGAGTATGTGGGCGTTCCCCTCGATTCCATTGGCTCTGACGGTTAGAAAGAGATGTCAATCAGCAAAATCGACCAAGGGGGGCCAGAGATATGGAAAATCCACCCAAATGACCCCAGAAGTGGGTTTATTTTGCTAAATCTCTCTAAAAAGGTCAAATTTCACTTTTTTTGCATCAATCTTGATACAGGGTACTTATTATATGTTGTAGTTTGGATTCCTAAAGCTTTAAGTCTACTATCCCATCAGCCAAGGGTGGTTTTCAGTATAAGTACAAATTATTTTTTGGACGGACACAATATATATATTTTTTTTACGGTGTTCAATCTGAATTTACTTTAAAATAAAAACATCTATATTGATTCTGACACTTCTACATCCAACTCACAGGTGTAACCTTGCTTTGAGAAAAAGGATTATTAATTTAACCCTTTTAGAATGGAAGATATGGTCATTTGTTCTGGGAATGTCATTTTCGAGCCTGAGACCTGAAAAACAGGCTCAGGGCTTAACTTAACACTTCAGCACATGATGTCTAGACACCTCTGCATGTAGGAGTAAAACAGGGAAGCGTTGTCATTTCACCCTTTAAATAATATAAACCCTGGCAAATTAGTGAATCCATGTTAAACACACAGGGGATCTGACCTCTGACCCCGGCGTTTAACCTCTCTGTGTCTCTCTGTGCCTGACACACACACACACACGTTGGAATCAGGGTTTCCGTTAGCCGGTAAATCTGAACTTTCGATCTGTTACGATTATAAACTGAAGCAATATAAAAATGACTCCCATTAACTGAGTTTTAAACATTAGCATGTCCGGTAATTACCTGCTAACGGAAACTCTGCTACACAATTCTTATTATTATGATTGAAACATGACCTGTAAGTTTCACATTTGTCCGGTAAAATAAATTATTTCCGGACACTTGACCGGCAAGAACAAATCCTAGCGGAAACCCTGGTTGGAATATATCCTTGGTTAGGAAATGTTTTAAAACCCTAAGCTGTGTGAAATCAAATCAGCTGACTGATGCACAATCCTGCTACATCTCAGATCGATGAAATAATGATTTCACATATTTCACCTCATGATTCACTGCGTGGGTTTTAACGCCCACGCTGCAGAAATCCATATTTATGAATTCATTACTGTCTGATGGTGAGTTTTAAACTATTATGAACTTTTAAAACAAGTATCATGCTTTTCCAAATACAAATCACCCTGCTTCCAAAACGTTCTAAAGTGCCTGTAAGTGTCTTGATTGTTGCTCAGTATCCAACATTTTCTTGTACCAACTTAGATTCCTACACAGTTAAAACGTCACTTAAAGTTGAGGTTGATACATAGAGAAACTGTAGTATTGTTAACTTAGTCTTTGAACAGATCATCACAAGTGTGTATTCTTTTCTGTGTTTGCTTAAAAAGCTACGTTTATGTGTAAGAGGTGTGTGGTGCAGTGGGTTGTGCGTTGGTGTTCGGATCAGGGGGTCACAGGTTCAAACCCCACTGCAGTCAGCATGTCTTGTGTCCCTGAGACACTTCACCCCAAATTGCTCCTGTGGGGATTGCCCACATTATTGAGTATGGAAGTCGCTTTGGATAAAAGCGTCTAACAAGTGACATGTGATGTAATGAAATGCACTGTTCTTTAATATCTTAAGGCAAATATCGTTTTCGTATTGTTACTGAAACTCAGGTGCCGTGTTGGCAATACTATTGAACAATCTGAAGCTATACCAAGCCGTAAGAAGTCAAAACTAAGGCTGATTGTTGCCCTAGAATAAATGGAAAATGTAACTATTCCGGACTATATTTTAATAACCAAATAATCTGTAGCGTAAATGTAATCTATAAAATCACTAAAGTATTAAATAAAAAAGTCACGTTTCCCAGAGCTAAAATAAATGTCTTTAATAAAACGTATTAGCATTCTGATGAAGCTAAAATGAATAGATCTGCTATCAAAGAAGACATCTGAGACAGTGGTCATTTAATCTTCTGTAGATCAAAGAAGTTATTAAAGTGATCTTACAGAAGATTTTTTCTAAATTTGTTTTAAGAAAATAAGACAAAAAAAATGACCAAACATGGAGATTACTTTTCTTGCACAAGAGTCGGAAGAAAAGCTCTTAAACCAGACCGGCATTCCAGACAGATTATCTCCTGAAATCCCTCCTGGTGGAGCGGATCTCTGCTCCCTGCCGTTAGCCTTCAACCCGGGGACTATTTTATTATTTTGTATTTATCTTTTTAATTTAAGTTGTGATTCAAGCCAAATATAGTCACTTTTTTATGTGATTTTATTGAAAAAAATGGATCAAAAGGATGCCAAAATAAATACATGATTTTATTTTATTTAACCTTTATTTAACCAGGTGAAAACATTGAGACAAAATCTCATTTACAATGCTGACCTGGCCAAGAAGGCAGTAACGTTACACATTCTTACACATAACACAGACATATAAAATACAGAGAACACAACTAAGTCAACAAAAGACGAAAAGCAGTCACTACGTTGAGCACATTTGGACAGTAAGAAAGGTGCACTACTTATTACTGCAAGAGCAGCTGGTGGTAAGGACCTCAGACAACTTCAATTTAAAACAGGCTATAGGGACAAGAGCCATCAGTTTGAGGCTTGATTGAAGGTCATTCCAAGACCAAGGACCCTAATGAAAAAGACTCCTTGCCTCAGTCCGCACGACAGGAACCTGGACCCGTATCCAGGCACTGGATCTGAGGTTGTAAGAGTCACAAACTGGAGCAGATCTGGCACATATATACAGTGGAAGCTTACCTAAAATGGCTTTATACAATAATACAAACCAATGCTGCATCCTACCCATACTAAGTGAGGACCATCCAGTTAGGCTATACAGTGTGCAATGATGAGTCCTAGGGTGCATTTGATATGTATCGCAGTACAGCATGGTAGAGTGGGTCAAGTTTGGCCAAAACAGAGGGACAGGCAAATCTATAGATTGTATCACCGTAGTCCAGCTGGGACAGGAATAAGCCAGAGACCAACCTTTTACGGGAAGAAGTTGAAAAACAACATTTAAGTCTTTAAAGGAAGCCAAGAGTGAATTTCAATTTCTTAGTTAGAACTTCAATGTGGTGTTTGAAGTTTAGATTTCTGTCCAACCAAAAGCAGGTTCCTGAAAAATCTGAATTCATCAGAGGTGAGAGAAGTACTCAGATCTGGTACTTCAGTAAAAGTAGAAGTACTTAGATCTTGTACTTGAGTAAAAATAGAAGTACTCAGATATTGTACTTGAGTAAAAGTAGAAGTACTCTGATCTTGTACTTGAGTAAAAGTAGAAGTACTCTGATCTTGTACTTGAGTAAAAGTAGAAGTACTCTGATCTTGTACTTGAGTAAAAGTAGAAGTACCCAGAGTGTAGGAATACTCTGTTACAGTAAAGGTCCTGCATTCAAAATGTTACTCAAGTAAAAGTAGAAAAGTATTATCATCAAAATATAGTTAGTGTGTGTATATATATATATATATATATATATATATATATATAGAGGAGTTTGTTGCGGGTTTGGGATAAAAGAAGAAGGGGGGGGGGGGGGGGGGAAGTTTCAAAGGGAATTAGCAGGATTTGTGTGTGTGTGTGTGTCCCCACGTTGATCAGTCATGTTCGTCAGGGCTAATCTCAACATGGATCTGCAGATCTTTCTGCCTCTTAATTCAATCCGAGCCGCTCTTCACGGTGTGTTGTGTGTGTGTGTGTGTGTGTGTGTGTGTGTGTGTGTGTGTGTGTGTGTGTGTGTGTGTGTGTGTGTGTGTGTGTGTGTGTGTGTGTGTGTGTGTGTGTGTGTGTGTGTGTGTGTGTGTGTGTGGTGTGTGTGTGTGTGTGTGTGTGTGTGTGTGTGTGTGTTGTGTGTGTGTGTGTGTGTGTGTGTGTGTGTGTGTGTGTGTGTGTGTGTGTGTGTGTGTGTGTGTGTGTGTGTGTGTGTGTGTGTGTGTGTGTGTGTGTGTGTGTGTGTGTGTGTGTCCTGCGCCTGATTGGATTAGAGGGAGAAACGAATGATTGTTGAAGGCGAGCAAACAGGGTGACATGTTGAGGGGATTTTCATTATCGACATCGCAGAGAGGAGTTCATTCACAGCCTCTGTCTGCACACACACACACACACACACTCTCTCTCTCTCTCTCTCTCTCTCTCTCACACACACACACACTCTCTCTCTCTCTCACACACACACACACACTCTCTCTCTCTCTCTCTCTCACACACACACGTCGCTGACTGACAGCCTAACGAGTCCAATTATCAAACTGAATCATTGCACGTTTCATTCAGAAGAGATTAGAGCTCAATAGGATTCGGATGCATGAATGGAGCACGGACAGCGCGTTGCCAAAGCGTCAAACGATTAAGAGATTATAAAGAAAATAAACAATGTAGAGTTCATTTTAATCAAGGAACATGCAGAAAAACTATTTAAAAACTGTGTTATTTCTCAGTGTGAATAACAATGTTTCCAAGATGTCATGTTGAATTAGAGCCAAAATGTTCTCGTGAAGGACTGTTTCATATTCATGGGTTCATCTCATAATAGCTGTTATGAAAAGCCTTTTTCTGTGTCCTCCGGTGTGAATTAAATCCTGGACAAATTAAAAGTATTTTGTGGAAAAAAAGCCATTATAACGAGGAAAAACAAACGTACACTTAATATGTTAACGTGCACACACAGGGTCATCAAATGAAAATGTTATTGAACTGAATATGCAAGATCAAAAGCCAACTGTCAACACTTATTTGTGACATTTTCTAAGACTTCTAGGCATTAAACTTTATTTTCAACAACAGCATTTATTATATATTTCAGTGTAAAGCATATCTTTTCACAAACGTCTTAAAACTCTTTGGAAACAACTGTTTTAAGGCACCTCAGTTTTGCAGGTATTTGGTCCAGGGTGTCCGCGGGGTCTTAAAAAGTATTAAAGGGCATTTTCCAAGGTGTTACATTTTGTAGCTTGTTTTCAATAAGTATATAAAGTGTCCAAAGAGGTTGTATTCTACAGTATGCCTGAATGTAATCATTGCGTAGACCTGTAGTGTGATTCTGTAGTTTATTGATGGCATCCCGTTGGATTTGACGTCATCTGAACAGGACATCGCACGCTCACTGCTTGATAGCGCGAAGGTCCGTTTACGCCGGTTGTTAAACAACATCGTTATGGGGAAATGCAAGTCTGCGTCCAAATGGTTGGAAAATAAGGAGGAAGGACAATCAATACTGTATATAGTCAATGTGAGGTAAAGTGTGTCGCCAAGGTAACCGGTTCAAACTCGAAAGGGCGATGAGGTCTTAAA